ACTCATCTTACATTCATTAGCTAAACAAACACATTTTTATTTTACTTACAATTTCTTTTTTCTACTTCCATGTGCTTTTTGGTACAAACTATGTAAGCGTGCCCAAGAGTTGCATCCTAGGAAGGTTACATCAGCAGGGAACTGCTGGAAAATCTGATCTGTAATCTCACGAGATCTCAGGAAAGGCTATATTCCTCCCTTGAGATGATGTGCATGGTCACATGTACTAGTCAGAGAGTTTCAGGAAGTAAAGGGATATAAAGGAAGTAAAAGAGAAATTTAGCCTTTAGCTAAAATGGCCACTGTGAGAAGAATGGGTTGGAAAAAATAAGGTATACAAACAATACAAAGCTTGCAAGTATCTAGAAGTATCTGTTTGTAGATTTCCATTACTAAACATTTCTGAAGGTGCCACTGTTGTCATTTTGAAGATATGGGTAAAGTTCCTCTTTAAAGTATCCTTGTCTCTGTGAAGAACACTGCCATATTGTAAATCCTGTTTTCAGTAAGCCTCAGTGAGTAGTCAAAGAAGTAGTAGCTCGGAGGTGAAAATTATGACGACTGAGAAAAGCTATGCCTTTAGTGCACACATGCACGTCTGCATCAATCCAAACTTTAAATGTCCAAAACTGTGGCTGAAATGTAAACAAAAAGGCTGCTGCTAGATGTAGATTTCAGTAAAATAAGAAAACTACTAAATCTACCAAAACAATATATTTGTTTCCAAGCCGTGAAGAATTCTGCAGCTGATTAACCTAAAACTTGGAACTCTACAGCTACATGCTTCCAGATGAGGAGATCAATTTAGCGGTACTCTTCTGAGATAAAATGAAACTTCCCAGGGCATAACTTCTATTGCCTAATTTCACATTTTCTCTACCATAATGATTGCACACTTGGAAAATAGAAATGCTCACAGACCACTGGTTCTGCCAAACCACAATTGTGTAATATGCTCCATGGATAACTTTTACTAAACAAAATGTTCTTCTGGCTTGAACCCAGTGGTCAGAAATCTATTCCATAACTGATCCAAAACATTAAAACAAACTAAGTTTTATGTGTCTCCCTGCCATCCCAATGCCTCATTCAATGTTAAGGGGATCCCTTTTCCGATTTAAACCCATATTTATAATTTTGCAGAAGTGATGCACTTTACAAACTGCTTACAGTCCTGAGAGGACTCAAAAACTTAAGCTGTATTTCCACTTTTGCAGCCAAATTGGCAAAACACCTATTTTAGATTTGTAAAAACTATCACAGCCCTGAAAAAGGGAAAAATTGCCTGGTAATGCAGGGTATCATCGACAGATACTCCAGTGGTTTACTGTAAGTGGATTTCCCTTGTTGTTTAAGACATCACTGTGTACCAAGAAAGAGGAGTCTCCCATTCTCAATGTTTTTGGGTTTCATTGGGATACAGGCTTTCCCCTTCGCCTGGTATTTCAGCACAAGCAAAATATACAGTAGTTCTGTAGGAACTGTATCTACATAGCTAGAATTGACACCCTATCAGCACTGTAAACAACATCAGGTTTGGATCCCAGCTTTTATTTCCCTTTTACAAGAGATTGGTAGAAAATAGGCTTCCTTCGTGGTGCTACACCGCATAAAAAGGATATTTTTCTTTCAACCCTTCTAAAAAGAATAATGTTGTTTTAAAATGAAAAGCTAACCTACTTTACTGCCTACCTACACAATTCTGTTTATCTGTTTAGGAAAGAGTGGGAAAGAGTTAAAACATCTGCCAGGTTTTTATTTCTGTTATCCCATCCCTCTGCCACTGGTGCAAGGAATAGAGAGTGTCAATCACAGAGTAAAGAACACAAAGACAGCAATCGAAGCATTGTCAGAAAATCTAACCCTTCCCTACTCCACTAAAAATGTTTTTGTCTGTGCCCACATTGGCACAAATTTCCATCACTTCTTGTCCTGACAGCAAGTGAAAAAAAAGCTCCACAGCAGGCTCACAGCAGCATTAAAAACCTGACAGAGGCTCAAACTTTGCTCATGGAGTTGGGCTCTAATAAGATAACACTTGTACATACCTTTCTGTGACTAACACTGGACAATATTTATACCCGTGTCCATCTCCTGTACTGTGTTAACTCTGGGTTCAATTCACACAAAGCACAATAAGTTAACTGTTTGGGGAGCTTTTTTCAGGTTTAGACCTGATCAGCTATGACAAGCTGAAGATAAGTGGCTGCATGCAGGAACAATAATTCAAATCTGCACATGGATGGGTGTCAGCTTGATTTATGAAGACACTAAAAGTAGATCTGATTTCATAAAGAGTTTCATAATGGAGTTAATTTACATGGTCGGTTCACTAGACACAATTTGTGCTAAGAATGTTTCTTTTTAATGTTCGGCTAATACATCACAGTCTTAAATCACGTTAGGCACAGTTGCATACACACGTTTCAAGTAAAAAAGTAGTGTGTTCCGTTTATCTGACTTACATTCCAGTGGAATAAGAACACTTAGACAGGTCAAAAAGTGAATGCATTGACTGACAAGTCATAAGGAATTACAATAACGATATGTAATTACAACAATTTGTAGACAATATCATCTATCATGATCATCTAAATATTTCTCTCTTGCTGCAGGTCCCTTCTATTCTGACCTGTCATGTTTGCAGCTACAAAAGTAAGATGTTCTATCTAAGCAACCTTAAACGTTTTCAACCCAAATGAATTAGATGATTTGTTTCAAAATATTCATAATCTGTTCCTGGGACTTGCATGCTACCTTTACACACCTACTGGTGGGTTTATTCTTCAGTAAGACAAGGAACGGAGGAGTTCCAGCTGCTTCATGTCAACAACAAAATAAAAGATGGAAGTCAGCACTAAGCAAAATGCACAGTTGAATTTTTAAAATTAAAATCCTAACGTTTATGTGGAGAAACATCTTTCTTTCCTTCTTTGGAAAATCCATCAAAGATGGAAGAAAAAATAGGATTTTGGTACTCACCGTAAAATCCTTTTCTCTCCGTTCATTGAAGGACACAGGGAACAGATCGGAGATCCTGTACTGTAGGGTAATATCGCCACCTGCAGGAGAAGGACGCTAGGCACAAAACTAAAGACCAATCACAGCCTAGGGGCGGCCCCTGCCGGTGGCCAAAACCCCCCACCTGCTGACAAGTCTCCAGTTTAGTAACAAGCAGACGGCCGAAGCCAACACGGGGCGCAACAGAGCCCCAAAAACCGAGTACATAGTACGCGCCACCGCCTCCGCCTTCCTATCCGAGGGATCCCGAAAGGAAGGCGAATCCTCCACCGGGATGACCGTAGCCTTGTTCAGGCAGGAAACCGGCGGATCCACCGCGGGGGAGCCTTTATTTCTTCACAAAAACCAGTAAATAAAAGATGAAAAGAAATACAAGTTAATCCACTGCAGTTTTAAAGCCCAATTGTATTTTCTGGTTGTAAAATGTAGGTAGCTATTCTCAGGTCAGTACTCTATACTGTCACAAAATGACATTTGATAAGTTTTGCTCTCTGTATAAGAGGTCTTCAGTATTGCTGTATTAAGGCCATAGCTCTGCTTTATAAACAAACTTCTTTACGAATATGAATTGTGCCCACTTGGGAGTCTGAATCGGTAAAATATGTGTCTTGGTGTGGATTTACATTCCAAAATATAATGGACAGCAGATATCCGACCATTGCACACACCCGTTACCGGGTGTTTCACATATAGGCGATCAGCGGCTCCATAGATTAAATCTTTATATATGGAAACTTTACACATTTCTTTATGAATCTTATACAAACTCTTAGATAAAACATAAAAAAGCTCCAGAAGATTAATTTGTGAAAAAACTCAAGAGCCGATTTACATTTATACAGTGTGTTTTAAGTTGCATGTTATCATGCATTGCATTAAGGCAACCCATTGAAAATAATGGGCTGTCACACACCAAAATGTCCTAAACATCAAGTGTCACAAAATGTTTACCCCATGTGCATTCAAGTGCCATCCAAAATTAATGGCAATGCAGCAACGCTTGTAAAGTATGTTACCGCAAAGCAATAGTGTAAATGGGCCCCTAATCAAAACTTGCGCTGAGAAAAATATGTAGCATGTGGTTGCTGAATTTTTTTTTTTAAATGTTAATTTCCTGGCTGTTAGGCTTCAATATTTCTGTTTTGCTGATCTGAAACAAGTTCACTTATTGCATGCTTTTTTTGGAGTCAGGGCTCAGTAAGTACTGAAGCCATAGACAGCCAGGTAATTAGCATTTCAAAATGAGGTCAGCAATAACATCCTATGGGATTGTATAGTTCTATTTTTATTGGTGTCCGCTAAATCATGTAGTAGTCAGATCTGATGGCTAGAAGTTTAAATCCGGTCTAGTGTCTCCATATAAGGGTAACAAAGAATCAAAGATGGGAAAAACATGTCTATAGCTTTCTGTAAACTTGTTGGCATGGCCAGAAACATCAGTCGAGAGTACACATGGAACAATTTCAGACCAAATGTGCTTAACAGAATTAAGACAGAACAGCATGAGGTCCTTATCTACAGACATATTTTGTCTATGGTGTACTTCACACAGGTTTATTCCAAACGCTACAACTTTTCCTGAGCTCTGGGCACAAAACTGGATTGTGACAACATCTTTGAAAAATGTATGAAGGAGTGGCTATAGACAGAGCATGATGTCACCATACAACTCTGCAATCCACGAGTCTAGAAAGGCAGGAACTTTCCTCATTTTCCTGTGGACTTACAGCAAATGCTTTAAACCTAAAGAAGTGCCTGCATTCCTCAATGAACGTACATTTAGTTTGGCAAGCATGCGTGCCAAACAGGCCCAGATCACAGAAGAAATGTGGAAAAAAGTTGGATCAGAATAGCTTCAATGTTCCAGATGATATGTAAGTGTAGCAAGACTGAGAGCAGTCTATGTAGAAAAATGAGGGCAGAACTCTATGGGTTTTATGTTGAGTACATGAAAAATACATATACATACAAATACACACCTTGATTGTGTGAATTTCTTCAAGGAGTCTTTGCGCCCGTCTCTGATTTTTTTGAATGAGTTCTTCTGTCCCCCTGATGACATAATGTAAATAAATCAGTTTTAGATCTATCTTTAAAATGAAAAGAATAACAATTGTGTGATACAGGCATAACATATGTATCAATTATTACAATAAGAAGGGATCACACAGCCAGTTTAGCAGACAATATTTTTGGTATACAGTATGATTTGACATGCTGATTATTTAAGGTGCGATTCTAAGGCCTTGTACGCACAGGCTTCAGTTTGTATAGGAGCAGTGTGTACAGCAAGAGTTTACAAAGCACATAGAAAGCTTTCAGACAGTTTCACACAGCATTGCTAAACACTTTAAAGTGTATTTCAACTTTTGCAGACTAATTTCAGAAACTGTATGTTTCTTATGTGTTCCCAGACAGTCTCACACAGCGTACCTAAAATATTAAAAAAAATAAAACTTCTTATCTTTTAGAGAAGAACTTCAGGCAGAATAATACGTAACCCTTGCAGTGGGGCTACACCCGCACTGCAAGGGTTAAGTGCGTGTTATAACAAGGATATACTCCCTCTGACCTTGCTCCCGTCTGGCTGCTAGACCAGTTCCTGCAGCTTGTCTTCCCCCTCCGCTCTGGCTGTGGAATGTCCCTCAGCCTTCTCATGGACACGATGACTTCCAGATCCTTAGACCGCCAGGGCAGGAGGAAGCTGCATGGATAGGTCTAGCAGCCAGACGTGACTGAGCTTCGGGTGAGTATATCTTTATTTTTGGCCCAGACCCAAATGATCACTTAACACTTGCTGTGCGGGGGCAGCCTCACTGCAAGGGTTAAGTTTTATTCTATCTGGAGTTCTTATTTAATTGTCTCTGTGTAGCAGGCCTCTGTACTAAAGGTTTCTCTGTACAAAGTGACAGTCCCTGGTCTGTCCACATAGAAAAACTATGGGCAGACTGAGCTTCCTCTCCTTAACATACGATGCTCATAAATTGTTAGCCATTTGTTAGGGCAGACAGTGTTCAAGGAGGTTGCCCCGGACCTGGTCTGACTGCCAGGACTCGGCTATAAGCTACACTAGAATGAAATGTTTATATATTCCTATAGAAAGTCCTGCTGGTAATGTGAGGCACATACAATGCCTGGGTAACCACAGATAATGTGATCGCTGGCCTAGGCTTTAGGCCACATAAAGGATATTGTGAGCACATTTTTTTTTTAATTAGTAGTAAGATTTATTTTTTTTAGATGTTTTTTGTAATGCTGACTAAGAATTTTAATGGCAACTCAATTTTACAGTTTCCTAGAAAGAAAAGGAAACCCAAAAATGAATGCTAAAGGGACTTGAAAAAGCTTTACATGGCAGAGTTTTTTTAGACAGCCTCTTTCCAACAATCAGTTTAAATTACACAATGTACAACAAGAAAAAAAAAAGGAATGAAGAAAAAACCAACAGATGTAGACTGTAAAATATACAATGAACTGCGTGTTCAAAAGTACTTGGCAGTATTTGATAGTAACAGAAATACAAATATGTGTGATCCACTGCTGATGTAAAGCTGATGTTATCTTGGCCTTATTACTGCTGTCATTGTACAATGAATGTGAATTTAATTGTCCCAGTTTGGGGGCTGAAACATGTAAGCATTTGTTTGTTTGCTGCTGTTATGCCTTTTTACAAATAAAGTACTGGACCCCCTTGCGAGTGCCATTTTTTTACCTATTGAGGTTGTCTGTCTGCTCTTTACTGAAGTTGCTAATACTGAAGTTTTCCATCAATTAAAAACTATAGAGTACAAATAACAAAGAGTTTCCAAACTTACATTACTGCTTTGCATGTCTGATATATTATACAGGTTTACAAGCAATACACAGATCACTAACTTTTTGGATTTCAGTTTGGAAATGTTTCTTGTAAGCTTCCGAATAGTAAGGACTTTCACCTTCTTCACATCTTTCCGCATCTTCACTACCTGAGGAGACAAGCAATGTTCAAAACAAGATAAAAAGGAAGAACCCAAGACAAAAACATTTCTCAGAGTTTCGCTTAAAAAATAAGATAAGTATTTATCTTATAAAATAACAAAAAGAATATGGTTGAGTTATAAAAAATAACATGTATTTTGGTAAAAGTAAGCAGTATAAAGAAACACCTCTCTGCAGTACTCAAAGATCCAGTAACATAGACCTGGTAATAAATGCCTCTGCATTGGTCATGTGATTTGTCACCAGAATGGTGCGCAATTCTTACAGAAAAGGTACAGTTTTAAGGTAACATTTTAGGCTGACTCATTACTTTTAATTACACCATGGCTGCCAAATATTAATATAACTGCAGGTTCATTTTTCACTGTAGTTTATCCAAGAGTAAAGACGACACCAACATTCGCACAGCAATGGAAACAATAATGGTGCAAAGGCTTCAAATACCTACCCATTATCTCATGTGCAATATTTTTCAATAGGCTTTGGTTTGCTCCTCAAAAATTCCAATTAAGTTAGCATAACAAACTACTGCACCATACACACAGAAGAAAAGCTGGCCACACACTGGATTCCACTGGAACATCACTGGTGTCCCGCCCAAGGTTTGACCTTTCTGATGCGTTTCTCCCAATCATATGAATATGCATATCATCCTAAATAAATATGTCATCGTACACAAACAGTTCATAGAAAAAAACACAGGTCTAAATCAACATTTAAATCCTTACGGTGTATCGTGTCCGGCTCTTCAATCCATTTGGTTTCTTTCTCCGTAGTTTTGGAACGTGATCAATGATCATGAACTTCAACTGGGACACAGAGTGTTTGCATTGTGCAAAATGTTTAGTAACTGGCAATATAGCCCGTATAGATGATTTGCGATTGGACAGCCAATCCTTCAGCTTTTTGTGGTTTCATCAATACCCAAAATTTTTTAACATAAATTGTAAGGCTATAGTCCGGTCTTGCTGACTGATGAAATTTTTGACTGACTGGTAAGACACCGTCAAATTTTTCAAGCCCTATATATATATTATAATATAGGAGCTCTGGCAAATAAGGTATCCCTTTATTTGTATTTTACTAGTATAAGGATAATGAAAATAGATCCCTTAAAGCTTGCCATACACCTATAGATTATCTGCAGATTTTCTATGGTCTGATAAAAAAAAGTGCAACAGATTCCTCCATCTACGATAAACTGTGTGGATGGAAGAATCCCCCACTGGGCCAAGCTTCAGTATCTTCTAGTCGACCCCACTGGCTGTCAAAATACCTGAACAATCTGATTGGGTGCAGACATTGTTCAAGTATTTTGAGAGCCAGCGGGGCCAACTGGCAAGATACTGAAGCTTGGCCCAGTGGGAGATTCCTCCATCCACACAGTTTAGCATAGATGGAGGAATCTGTTTCGCTTTTTCCATCTCACCATAGAATATTTGCATATAAAACTATGGAAATCCAAACTTTTACAGGACAAATATGTAAGTTGGGATTTCTCCTCACTTGCTGTTGTTTATCTCAGACAGGAAATGGAAGAATCACTCCAACAGCGAACTAGCAGCATAAAAAAGTGCTCACTGGTATTGTTTCATTAATTCATTATTGTAAGCTATCAAAAACAAAAACATGTGTTCTATAAAACATACATAAAAGTGTCTGAAAGAAAACAGACACGTCCACAAGGTTTTCAGTGGAACCCCCAAAGCAATGTGAAAAATACGATTAATTTTTTTTACCCTAAAATCTTTTTCTTGAAGTCTATTAAAGGACACAGGGATGTAGCATTTCTTATACATTTGTTTTTTAACTTTCACCTTTAGGTTTGCACACTGGCAAACAAAAAACATTAAGCCATCCCCTGTATAAGCCTGCCTCACATTGTCATATGCTTCAGTTTAGCGAGCAAGCAGTAAAAAGGCCAACAGCGCAGAAGAGTGGGATTGTGTCCCTCAATGGACTTCAAAAAAGGACACAAAAACAAATCAATGCCTAGACTTTTTGGACATCCAAAAGCAGTTAAATGAAGGGGTGACCAAAAGCCACAGAGAGATCCATTGGATGTGGAAATCTTACTATAAATGTATTTGAAGGACACAGCATCTTGAAGGGTAACTCCAGCTGGTTATAATGAACCCAGACACTCCCATTAAAGAATCAGTCTAGAAAGGACATGCTTCAGAACAGATACAGGTAGGAGACTGCAGTAAATTGTTAAAATCCTTGCAATGTACAAGTATCATCCAGAGAGGATTGTTTTTTTTGGTGATTGTCATCTGCTGGTGTTGGTCCACTGTGCTTCATTAAGTCCAGGGTCAACACAGCCGTCTACCAGGAGATTTTGGAGCACTTCATGCTTCCTTCTGCAGACGAGCTCTATGGGGATGCTGACTTTATTTTCCAGCAGGACTTGGCACCTGCCCACACTGCCAAAAGCACCAAAACCAATGACCGTGGGATTACTGTGCTTGATTGGCCAGCAAACTTGCCTGACCTGAACCCCATAGAGAATCTATTGGGCATTGTCAAGAGAAAGATGAGAGACATGAGACCGAACAATGCAGAAGAGCTGAAGGCCAATATATATATATAATGTGTGCGTGTGTCAGAGAGCTCTGCTCTCTGACACACTGTGACAGGAGGCTGAGCGGTGTGGGAGGTGAGACGCCGGCCGCTCACAGTGCTCAATGCGCCAATGTATCGGGAGGAAAAAATGGCACTTTCGGCATTTAGCCAAAAGTGCCATTTTAGGCCGATATGTTTCGGCGGCAGATATATCAGTGCATATATATATGTATA